AAAAACATTTTCCAAGTAGCCCAGAAGACAAAAATTGAGATCCTGAAGCCACAGAAACAATCATAAGCTACTGTCACTACTTTACCAAAAACAGGAGTAGGAAGAAAAGCAGAAGGGAAGAGGGGAGGAAGAAAATTAACTTCAAATTAAAGCTACTATAATAGGGGAAAAAGTAAGTACTTAATAAGAAACTACTGCTGGGGATGGGAATGTAGCTCATAGAGTGCTCACCTATCATGCACTAAGCCTTGGGTTCGTTTTCCAACACCCATAAACCAAGTATGGTGGCACATGAGAGGTGGAGGTGGAGGATCAGAAGTTCAAGGTTGTCTCAGTTACATGGTAAACTGGAGGCCAGCCCAGATCCTTCGTTCAACAACAAACACGAATAGCATCTACTTACTCTTAACCTGACTAAACAGTAGCTTGGTGGAAGCAGATGCTGTCTTAGAATCCAGTGCCAGCATTTCTATAAGGTATGAATTCCTTATAGAACAGTAAAAAACATACTAAAATTTCACATTATTTCAAATCTAAATGCATTAGGCTTCAACAATATCAAAACAATCCAATTCAGCAACATAAAATAGGCAAGCTAAACTCAAAAAAAATTTTCAAAATACAAGGAAGATATTCTTTCTGTGCTACCTCTCTTGGTGTCATTTTAGTCACTGCCATTGCTCCTGCATGTCCATCAGTTTCAGCAGTTATATGTGCACAGGTGGTGTTTAAGAAGCAGATTTTACCATATATAGCTTCTTCCTTGTAGCACTGTGGTTTGAGCAGGCTCTCTACTTCCTACTGAGTCATCAAATAGTAAGAAGTACAATGTTCCTTAAGGCAAAATGAACAAAAGACCTGCCTACATTTGATATCAAAGCAACTATTTCCTTAAATAAAAAAGATTCAAAGCCGGGCAGTATGACACATGCCTTTAATCCCAGCTCTCAGAAGGCAGAGGCAGGCAGACCTTTGTGAGTTTAAGGCCAGCCTGGTCTACAGAGCAAGCTCCAGGACAACCAAGGCAACACAGAGAAACCCTGCCTCTAAAAACAATAAAAAAAAGGTTCAAAAACATTTATTTTTAAATATTTTATTAGTTTTTTGAGAATTCTAGCAACATGTTTTGATCATATTCACCCTGCTGCCCCCAACTGTCCCAGATCCACACCCCACCCTTCCCACTCAACTTTGTCTTTTTTTTTCCCACCAAGGCAAGTATGTTCAAATATTCTTGGATATACAGCCTTCCATAGGAATGTGGCCGACTTATCAGGGGCTACATTATTAGAGAAAATGGTCCGACTCTCTCCCCACCACAGCAGCTAAAAATTCCCAACAACTCCTTGCCTGGGGCGGGACTCCCTGCAGGAATCTGGCCTCACGCGTGCTGTCACAACTGCTGAGGTCCCAGTGTCAGGAGTACTGTTTCTTGTGTGACCCACTGCTTCGGGATCTGCCTTCCACCACCTCTTGTGCAATGATTCCTGGGCCTCTGGAGACAGGGTATCACTATGTAGACGAGGCTAGCCTTGAATTGGCGATTTTCCTGTTTTAGTGGCCACAGCAGGATTTTCTTGTCTTTTGAGACAAGGCCTCACACAGCCCAGGCTGGTCTTGAATTCCTCATACTTCTGCCTTTCCACCCCAGCCCTGGAATTGCAGGCATGTTCCATCACACTCACTGGGATTTCTAAACTCTCATTTGAGCTCGTTCATTTTGTATTTTTTCTATTAGTAACTGGTGGTGCTTGTATTTTAACTTCACAGTGGCCATTCTTATTTGAGGCCAACAGTTGTCTTATTAGGCCATTGCCTTTCACAAGTGAAACTCAAGTTCTTGTTTTGTTTTTACTTAAAATATTCCTGAATTAAACATACAAATGACCAGAAGCCTGATAGATTATAACCAACTACAAATGTGAATTTTAAGTATAACATTCTTCTAGCACTATAAATGTCTAAGTACAACCATTAAACTTTATTAAGCATTGTTCTAACAACATGGCAGTCACTTTGGAGATATGCATTTTGTTGGCGAATGCAGTAACTGTTGGTGAGTTTATATTGAAGTCTGGTAACGTATATTAACACCAGGAACTTGGACTCAATTTGAAAGGAATCAAAATTCACAGCTAAAGAGGTATCCTGACTTTTGCCTAAATGGCTACTTTTAGAAGCCCTATTCTAGAAAGACGTTCCTTTCTCTGGGCTACTGAAACAAAAGTCTCATTGTGGGTAACGGGAAAATAGAGCAGGTCTAGCATCTAGCATGTGGTCAAAAGAACACACCTATGCTTCCAGAATCCAATTACGGGCGTGCGAGAGAGACTGAAAATTCTAACATCTCTCAGGGCTGGAGCGATGTGGTTAAGAGCACTTGATCTTGCAAAGGATCTAGGTTTGATTCCCAGTATGCACACGGTGCCTCACAATCATCCCGTACCAGAGGATCCAATTCCCTCAGGTACCAGGCTCACATATGATGCACACACCCACATGTAATCAAAACACCTATACACACAAAAATATGACAAATCTTAATTTTTTTTAATTTAACTTCTCCGGGTTGGGGGATACACCTCAGAGAGAGCATTTACCTCCTGTGTCTAAATCCTTGGGTTCAATCCCAGCATCATTTAAAAAAAAAAAAAAAAAACCTCTTAAATAGTCCACATTTTAAAATCTAAAGTATACAAAAGATAAATGAAGCCACCATTGATTCTTCTGCAACCATCTCCCATGTTCAGGGATTATAAGTACATGCCACATTTGGTTAGTGAAGTGCTGGAGAAGGACCCCCTGGTTTCTCCAACACCAGGCAAGCACTCTACCTTATTAACTAACATCTCGGTCTCTGGTCCATGAATGTATATGAGGGTTCATATGTAAGAGTGCAGGTGAATGCATGCTATTGGACATTAGAGGACATGGGGCATTGGTCCTCATCTTTCACCTTAATTGAGACAAGGTATTTTGTTGTCCACTGCTACATACACAGCACCAAGATGACTTCAGAGGAAACAAAACATAGACTCTAAGCAGCTCTTAGTCCTCAAATATTTTTTAGAAACACCACAACTTTCCTAACAGTGACATGATTTAAGCCAGGACTATATATGAGTATATAAGATTACCACAGCTATTTCATTCACAGCCATCAATGTCTACAAAATATATGGATAGTTTATATAAAACTACAGGAGTAATATCAAAACAAAACCTTTTGTTTGAATTAATTCCTTTCATTTATGCTATAGTAACTGATCTTTGTGTCCTAAGAATTGGATTTAAGAGAAAAAAAAAATGACGACGAGACGGGAGTCTGACTATGTAGAAATGGGGATCTGCCTGTCTCTCCCACCCAAGTGCTGGCCTAAAAGACTATGCCACCCCTGCAGTCTTTTTAACAACCATTTTAAAGACTTCTATTTTAGGTGTCTTATTTGTATATGTACCACATGTGTGCCTGGTACCCACAGAAGCCAAAAGAGGGCATCAGATGCTCTGGAACTGGAAGTACAGATGGCTGTAAGCTGCCATGCAGATGCTGGGAGTCAAACTTGGGTCTTCTGCAAGAACAAGTGCTCTTAACTGCTGAGCCATCTCTTTGGTTCTAAAGTAGTATTTTTTTTTTAACAAACACTTTTATAAGACTCTTAGGAAAGTCTCAGTGTTTATAGTTTAGTGTAAATATAGTGCAACAACACATGTCTGTTTAAAAAAATTTGTCTCCTGATAATTTAGAAGCTTTATTGGAAGCTAGGTGGAATACTATCTAGCTTTCCTCGCTGCTTTATCCTTTCTCTCAAAGAATGAGGTCATTTTATGTATCCCTACATGAAGTCTGTAAACATAAATATCTGTAATGAACACACATAAATGAGTTTGTTTAAAAACTTTTCCGCTACTAAATCTGAGATATCACCACAGCGATGGTGTCCCTTATTAGGATACTTATCCTATTCTAGTCCAATTTTAACTTAGCTTAAAGGAAGCTGGTACAATAATTGTCAAAGAATGGCAGTGAATACCAGGTCCTTTCCCCCCTCAACAACCTAGCTTCCAAATTGATAACTCAAGAAAATCTATTTTAATTCGTATGTCACATTTGTGGCAAAGGAGAACTGTCACAAAATGTTGCAATACTAAAACAGAAATCACTAAAGAATTCATTCAAAAGAAACATTTTCATCTTCAAAATTGGGGCTTTGAGGCTTTTTAATGGGGATAGAAGGAAATCACTTGCAAATATTTAAATCAGTGATCTAGTCTGATTTTGACAATTTTAGAGTCTTTAAGTCTGTATCCTGCACTTAAAGAGAAAAAAATACAGGAAGGGACTGATCCACTTCCCACTACATTAACTGGGGAGGTCCTAGGTCTCCTAAGTCTTCCCAAAGAGTCGACGATCTAGGAGAGGTTGCATGCAGAGAAAACGGTGAAGCAGGAGCTGCCGACCGTCCCCCAAAACCACGGGCGGCAGGGGCAGCCCACACACTCTCTGGGGGCAGACGGGAAGCCGAGGGCTAGGGCCGCGGCCCAGGGCATGACAGCACTTCCCCTTTTTTTTCTGCGGAACCCGTTTCCTGCCTCGCATTCGGCATCTTCAGCTACACAGGAAGAGGAAGGCCGCTGGGTCTTGTATGAAACACAGACGAGGCTCGGAAATGGAGACCTTCTCGGCACCCAGGAACCGGGCCCACCGCCACCCAGACCCACACAGGATCACAGCTCTCGGGACACGGGGGGCAGGCGGATGCTCGGGGGCGTGTGGGGAACGGCCTCGCTGCCTTGGGCTGCACTAAGGGCAACCTTGCTCCCCGGCCACCGGCTCAGGGCCGGCCCGCGCCCCCGAGAGCCGCCCGACCGCCCGCGCCCCCGCCGGCGTCCCCACGAGAACCGGCCCGCGCGCCTGCCCGCGCCCCCGCTGCGCAGCCCCGCAGCCGAGGGTGCACGCGCACCCCGCACATCTACGCGGCCGCCCCGTCGGCTCTTACCCCAGTGCCGTTGTCGCACACCACCACCTTCCTGCCCTGGCTGTCCATGGTTCGCCCTGGAGAGCCGCCGCCCGGCTTGGCCTGCTTCCTCCTCCGCGAGGCCCCGCCCTCGGCCCTTCGCTCCTCCCAAGCCGGAAGTCCCCGCCCAGCCGCCGCGCCCAGCAAGCGGCGACTGGCAGCCGAGAAGGCCAATGAGAATCGGCCGGCGCCGGCGCGCCCTCTCGCCGCGCTCGCATCCGGCCCTGAGCCCGGCGTGCGGGGCGGTGGCCCGGTCCCAGGTGTCTCGGCACTTAGGGCGCGGCCTGGCAAGCTGTCTCCGGGGCTGGCCGGTGATGGAGCGCAGGTGTGCCGCGGAGCGAGGTGGAGCAGCCAGCTGGGAAGCCCGAAAGCCACCTGGAGCTCCCGAGGCGGGATGTGTCACCGCTCCTAGGCCTTGGCGGATACACCTAGACCTGTTTGCAGCCTCGCGTTTGCTCCGTACCTCCAGCTGCAGTCTAGCCCGGCGGGATGCTTTCTCACTTCCTTCTTTTTCAAACGGGAACTCGCTATGTTGCCAGGCGCTGGCCTCAAATTCGTGACCCTCCATAGCCTCCCTTAGAAACTGGGACGAGTGCTACTCACACCTCTTTAAAAAATAAAATATGCGCGCACACACGAACGTAGTCTCGGTTTTGAAATCAGACAACTCCAAGCCGGACGGGGTGGCTTTAATTCCAGGATGCGAAAAGCAAAAGCAGGCAGAATGATAAGGGTTGGAGCCAACCTGGTCTACATAGCCAGTTTCGGGCCAGCTAGAACTATATAGTGAGACCCTGTCAAAGTGAAAGAAAGAATAAGACTTTCATTTAGCTGGGCAGTAGTGGGGGTGCATATCTTTAGTCCCAGCACTCAAGGAGGCAGAGGCAGGCAGATCTTGATTTCGAGGCCAGCCTGGTCTACAAAGCTAGTTCTGGTGCAGCCAAGGCTACACACACACACTCACACACAATTGTCTCAAAAAAAAAAAGTTTCAATTAATTTAAATTTTTTTCGTTTGCTGAGACAATCTCATTGTCTATTCTTGACTGACCTGGAGCTCAATCCTCTGACTCACAGAAATGGGCCCTCTCTGTTTTCCAAGTGCTGGGATTAAAGGCAAGAGCACCGTGTCCTGTACAACTCCACTTTTGATTCTGGCCCTGACAGTGCAATGTTTTGTGGTGTGCGCAGGACTTTGTGCGGGGGCATAATCACCTCTAAATGCACAGGTGATTGTGAGCATTCTGTGCTGAGAGCAAGCGATAGCTCAGTGGTAGCGTTTTAACATTAAACACATGCTTCTGATCCACCCTGGTTCTCATTATCTGTAATATCTACATCTGTCTTTTGTGACTGCCCTTGTTCTAAAACCCAGCTTGTTACATCTTCTTAAAGATTTTGGGCACAGCCAAGCCGGTGGTGGTCCCGGTCCTAACTAAACAGGGAATGATGAAGCTTTTGCTTTTTTAATTTCTTCCTGTCAAGGTTCCATCACCTTACACAATATAAATTGCAAGATAGTAGTGTATCCTATTTAATTCAATTTCAGGTCTAGCACTGTCTTAGGTTGCTGGGTAAATATGAAAGATACCCTATATAACCTTACTGGCAGAACTTCTCAAATTTCATGGTTTTGTTACATATGTTACTACCTAAACTCAAGTACTTATTATTGATGCTTAGTGTTTCCAAGTTTAATATTTTGTGATTAGGTCAGCAAGATGGCTCAGCAAGTAAAGGAGCCTGCTTGATGCCTGAATTCAATCCCTTGGACTCACAGTGTAGATACATACATATGCATACACACACACACAGCTCAAGGACATATAGAATCTGGATGTTAAAAATAGTTTGCAATCGAAAAGAGAACAAAGGACTAGGGCCGTGGCTCAGCTGTGAAAGGCTGGCCTGCCAGGCACCAAGCCCTGGGTTCCATCCCCAGCCATCAAACTACTCTGCTCCCTCAGGAGGTGGAGGCATCAGGAGAAGAGGAGGAACACAAGGTCTGCGGGGGCAGGGATAAATTTAAATCTCTTATGGAAAATGAAAAAGAGACTTTCCTTGGCTGAGCCTCCTGGCAACAGCCTGTGAAACAGCTTTTTCATACATTGTTTCAAGGCCTGGAAGTCTAGCTAGAAACAACTAAATGTGACCTTGGTAAAAGAAAAAAACAAAAAACAGCCAAGAAGACAGCTCAGGCTCGCTCTGCCTACCTCTTCTGTCTATTTTCCCCTGGGATTCCTGAGGTTTTGTTTGGGGGGGGGGCTGTTTGTTTTGTTTGTTTGTTTCTGAGACAACTCTCACTCATATCCCAGACTGGTCTTGCTCTGCAGCCTAGGCTGAACTCTCAGCCATCCTCCTGTCTCATACTCCTAAGTTTGAGGGTTATAGGCATAAATAACCACACCAGACCTTACTTGTGGCATTTATTTATTTATTTATTTATTTATTTATTTATTTATTTAGGTTTTTCGAGACAGGGTTTCTCTGTGGTTTTGGAGCCTGTCCTGGAACTAGCTCTTGTAGACCAGGCTGGTCTCGAACTCACAGAGATCCGCCTGCCTCTGCCTCCCAAGTGCTGGAATTAAAGGCGTGCGCCACCGCCCGGCTTTGTCTCGGTTTTCTTGAGACAGGGTTTCTCTGTGTAGCTCTGGCTGTCCTGGAACTCACTCTATAGACCAGGCTGTCCTTGAACTCAGAGATCTGCCTGTCTCTGCCTCTCAGGTGCTGGCACTAAAGGCGTGAGCCACCACCACCCCAGTCACTCTTTCTCTCTTAAGCTGTAGTTATCACAATATTTTATCACAGCAACAGGAAGAGTAACTAAGACAATGGCCATATGTCCGTGGAGATCGCCTCCTACAACCCCTGGTGAGTGGAGCCGTGCAACTCCTCCCTCTCTAACTTCTATTCCCAGTTTCAGAAAGGAGAGAAGGTAGAAGTTAATGCTCTTTCTCTAAAGTAGCAGCGGTTCTCAACCCCTGGGTCATGACCTCTTTGGAAGTCAAACAACCCTTTCACAGGGATGGACTAAGACCATTGGAAAGCATAGATATTTACATTACAATGTGTAACAGTAGCAAAATTATAGTTATGAAGCAGCAACAAAAGTAATTTGATGGTTGGGGTCACCACAATATGAGGAACTGTATTAAAGGATTGCAGCCTCAGGAAGGTTGCAAATACTGCTATAAATGAAAAAGAATGAAACTTATTCCCTAGCAATGCTGAAGCAGGCATGGGCAGTCCGTATATGGGGGTTCTGGGAGAACTTGTCCATAGTGGTTTCATGGTCTCTTCCTCAAGAGGGCACCAGATCTCATTACAGATGGGTTGTGAGCCACCATGTGGCTGCTGGGGACTGAACTCAGGACCTATGGAAGAGCAGGCAGTGCTCTTAACCACTGAGCCATCTCTCCATTTCATTTTGGCCCAGTGGTGTTGGTAGTCCACTTTGCTCCCTAATTTTGAGTGTTACTAAAACTCCTGACAGGAAAATCTCACTCCCTGTGTGTTCAGCACATGGAGATGACTATCTGATGGGGGCCTCCAGTCCCTAAGTGATGGGTGGCACTGTCTCAGGTGCTCTGCCCGCCTTCTGAGCTGTTACAACACAACCTCCTTCATTTACATTACTACATTTTCTGATGCTGGGGTATTAAAAGTAAAACAGACGATTTAAAGTATGTGAGAGGAGGCTGGGGATGTATCTCAGATGGCAGCAGAGTGTGGATGAAGCCCTGGGTTAGATCTTAATACACCATAAACTGGATATGGTAGTGCACACATGTAAGCCCATCCCTTGGAGATGGAGGCAAGGGGACCAGAAGTTCAAAGTCATTCTCTGTATTCTCTGTATAAGAAGTTCAAGCCTGCCTAGGTTGGAAACATCCCCACCTCTCTCTCTCTCTCTCTCTCTCTCTCTCTCTCTCTCTCTCTCTC